CAGCGCCCCGTGCCGAGCAGCCTGCTCTCCTCCCCCTGCTCCTCTGCTGCTCCCTGCACCTCAGCTCTGGTCTCTCCCTGCACCCGAGGCTGCATTCCCTCGACCCGGAATTTCCAAGCAAGGGGCCTGACTCGTCCTGACTGTCTCTTTTCCTCCCTGCTTGAGGGCGGGAGTGGGTGGGATATGGAGACCACCACTCTCATGGTATGTGCCGAGCCCACCATGTGGGTGTAAGGAGGGGGTGGGGGCCTGTGATCACTTCCCAGACAGAACGACACGTGCAGAATGGGTGGTCCCCGAGCCCCTCACAGCCTCACAGCACAGGCAGCAGGAAGGAGCGCTGCCCCCTTCCCAGGCTTCTCTGTACGCCCCTTCCTGGCACCAGCCCCTTCTGTGTGGAGCAACCTTGAGCTGCTCATCAGGTCAAAGTGCAGGACTTTCTTTCATTCTGTTGTACCTGGCTGGACTCCTGGTGCTCGAGACCTGGTGACTGTAGGGGTATCATCATCCCAGGACAATGGGCCTGTGTCACGACTGTCCCCAGAAACCTGGGGCATGTGGTCCCAGCGGAGCCCTGTTCAGCCTCTGGCCCTGCTCTTCCTGCCCCCCTGGGCTCAGCCGACCTAGCGGAGCCCACCCCTCCTTTCTGTCACCTCCCCCTATCGTGTCACTGGGTGGCTGACGTAAGCCAAGGCCTGTTCTTTCTGTACCGGACTTTCCGTTTATCCACCTCATTTTACGTGTTTTCTTCCCTCACTTCTCTCCTTTCCTGACACTTTGTCCACAGGGTCTGCACTGTAAGCTTCTTCCTTTGTTCAGCAGTAGGAAAAGCTGCATCATCACTACCATTGCCAACATTATCAGAGCCCACCAGTCGCTGAGCATTAATTCTGTGCTGGGTACTGAGCGTTCACTGTGCCGTGTGTTACCGAATCCTTGCCACGATGCTGTGAGCTGGGAACGATTTACTAGTAGCCCTGTGGGACGAATCTGGAAAAGGAAGCCCAGGGAACTGGCAGCGTCAGCCAGCAGTGGCTTCTGGAGCTTGGGTGTCATTGCCCATTCCTGAGTTTGATTTGTCCTGAACGCCCACGAAGCATGGGCTTCCAGCTTTGGTAGCGGATGCTCGCCCGTGTTTCTTTCCCTTCACAGGCGACGTATGGAGGTCGTGTTCGGGCTCACACGGGAACCAGGGTGGACTCACAGAGATCGTGCTGCTGGCATGGAATCCAAGCAGGCGGCGTTAGTTTGTGTCAAAATCCACAGCTGCCCCGCACCTAACTCGGTGGGACTCCCAGATGCTAACAACTCACCCCCGTGCATGTGAAGGGGCGAACTCTCTCCACACCCTTCCTCTTGTCCCCTCGAGTGGCTCAGTCACAGAGACTGCTACCCCACAGCAGGGTCCAGCAGAGCTTCTCACCCGCTCCCTGCCTACACCTCGTCACTGGAGCACCATCACGGGTGTCACTGTGGGACACAGAGCCACCCATCACAGCGACCGAGACCACTGTCAACTCCACCCTGGCCGTGCCCCCCTTGTCCATGCCGCCACGTCAGAGCTTACCGTTTGTGTCTCCCTCACCTGCCCAGCCTCCTGGGAAGAGGAGGACAGCGGGATTCCTTCTGCGGCCCCGGGTTGTTGCTGACATGTGCGCTGTAGGCACGGGTCTCAGCGTGCACCTCTCCCCCGAGTTCCGTCCCCAGTTCCCACTGTACTGGTTCAGCGTGCCGGCCATCCTGACGGGCTGGATGGACAGAGTGCTGTGCCAGGGCTTTGCCTTCGATGTTCCCGGCTTCTACACCTCCGGTTTTCTCCAGGTATGTGCTCTGGGTGGAGGATCGCCAGAGATGTTGGCAGGGGAAGGGACCATCTATCAGTCATAGTTGTAGTTTGCAAATATTGATTGAGCACCTAGTGCGTGCTAAGCACCGTATGCTGTACACGGATGAGAAGAGCATCGTGTCTGAAGTCATGCAGCTTTCGTCTCCTGGGGGCCGCAGACACATCTGCAGCTAACTACGTGCCTGGCAGAGAAGGGACTGGGGCTGGGTGTTGGGGGAGGGTGGACGTTGGCCACTCGGTGGTCAGCCCCCGCTCCAGAGAAGGCAGGATCCAGCCCTGGCCTGGCACCAGCTCACCCTCTGAGCATCACACGCCGACCTTGTGGAAGCAGGTAATAGGACCCCTGCACTGCAGGGTGACAAGTCCTTGGAACCTGGTAGGTGCACATTACGTGGTAGCTATGAATTCTTACTAAAATTCCTACTGAAAGAAAGGATGTTTTAAATTCTCAAAGCCCCGGGAAACAGCATATCTAAGGAAAACTGACCGTGTAACCAGATCTATCCTGGATCGCGATGATGCCACCATGTACTGAGCACTCCGTGTGTGGGTCCCTGCCTGGCTCCCTTCAGTCCTGTGCCACAGCCATGTCCGGTCACACACGGCAGCATCACCTAAACCTGGTTCCCTCCAGGAATCTGGGCATGTTAGTGTTTCTCCAATCACTGGCTCCATTCACTCCGATTGTCCTGTCCCCACTTTCAGTCGGGATGTCCCTGTCACCTGTGGATGGGCTTGCCAGGGATGGACGTGTTATGCTCGTCCATCCTGGAGGGAGCTGACCCCGGACTTCCCTCCTGGCCGTGATAAACCTTTGTGCTGGGTCACAGCAGCATTTGTGTCCTCTCCCGGAGGCCACACGTGCAGGTGCTTTCTCCCCTGCAGGGTAAATTAGCCCGGCTCTCGCTGATGATCAGCGGCCCGGCCAAGATGTACAGGAAAGGGCGGTGTCAGCGGAGACTTTCAGTAGTTCCTGTGTCCCCTCCAGGTAAGCAGCTTCCAAAGGCCACTGCACGTG